GGATGTTGAGCTGTAGTAGTGGTGGTTCATGCCTAAAATCCCAGCACTTGGGAGGCTGAGGGAAGAAGATCATAGTGTATTTGAGGCCAGCCTTGGTTATATGGGGAATTCAAGGCCAGCCTGAGTTAAACATCTGGGTTTTGCTAGATATACAAAGGTAAGTAAGGCTCAACCCTCACCAAGAATTTGAATCAGGTATTTTTACTTATTTGTTTGTCTGAAGTATGTAACATTTAAATGTTCTTAAAACGTATTGATCCCCTGAAGATTGACTAGGAAGCAGGAATTTTAATAATTACTTTCAAATTATCAGTAATTTTGCAATACGATTATCAGGGGAGGTATTTTGTGGTTTTAGTTTGGTTGGTTGACTGCTTTTTGATTTGCAGGGGTGGGAGTTGTTGGGGGAAGGGGTTAAGTTAGGCTCTGTGTAGCTCATAACTCAGGCTGGCCTTGAATTCCCCATATAACCAAGGCTGGCCTCAAATACACTATGATCTTCTTCCCTCAGCCTCCCAAGTGCTGGGATTTTAGGCATGAACCACCACTACTACAGCTCAAGGATAAGTTTTATACACAGGTATATCCATACTAATCTCAACTGCTTTTTAAAATTGACAAAGTTATAGACCAAGTTATATCATAAATGTGATATAAGGTTATGAATTGAATAGTTTGAGAGGATTAGCATAGTGTTCTGTTCACTTGTACACTAAAAGCAAAAGAATGCCTGTGTTCAAAACTAGACATGGGCCAGGCAAGGTAGCACATGTAATCCCAGCACTTGGGAGGCTGAGGCAGGAGGATCATGGTGAATGATGCATTCAAGGACAGGCTGGGCTACATAGTGAGTTCAAGGCCAGCCTAAAATACACAACAGGATCCTGTCTCAAATAGAAATAAACACCTCTCTTCCCCTAAAAAACAAAGCCAATGTGATGGTGCAAACCTGTAATCCTGGTGGGCAGGACAATGGTCTGAAATTGAAGGCTAACCTGGGCTAACTAACAATGTCAAGGTCAGCCTGAATAGTGACACCCCATCTCAAAAAACAACAACAAAAATCAGAATATAATTCAAGAGCAATGAAAACCTGTAAGGCATTGTGCTGAGTGTTGTATAGTTTAAGATGTCCTCAAAGAGGGTATAGTCAAGTAGAGGGTAATTAAAATACACAAATAACCATAAAGTAAACATACCAAAGTAAGTAGTGTCAGAAGAAATTAATTTTAGGATTTCAAAGGAGAAAGAGATCTTATCTAGTCTGAAGGAGATGGTAAGGTTAAATAATGGGCTTTGAAGAGGAGTAGGATTTCAAATAGATGTGAGGAAGTAGGACTTTCCAGGTTAAAGTGGCAGCTTTGGCAAATACACAAAGGCAGGAAAAGAGGCACAAATTCCTTACAAGACAGGAGTTGCCCTCATATATTAAGAACTTAGGACAATTAATTGGTTAACCAGCCTCCAGAAAAAACTTAAAGCAAAGAATCATATTAGTTACTCACATATTTTGTACTTCTAGTTTAAACTATAAAAATTATTTGACATTCTTTTCTTAGATTGTGGGTCTTATCAAATTACATCCAAATCTTGTCTCAGCCTACTACCTGTTTCAAAGTTTTACTGAAACAGCCATGTTCATTTATTTGCATATTGTCTATGGCTATATCCTATAAAGCAGAATTTAGTGTTGCCTCAGAAATCCACATGGCCCACAAAGCCTAAAACTAGTTGACCCTTTATAGACAGAGCTTACCGATCCCTACCTGTATCATTTATGATTCTTTAACATAGAGCAATTAAAGTCACTTGCAAAGTAGTATGAGTACAGAATCTTTCTGGGTGTTTATAAAATTTCCTCTCAATCTTTATAGTCACTCTCCCACACCCAGCAGCAGATTGTGTGTGTCCATGTGATTCACCTTTGTTCTTTCCAAAGCATACAACTTGATTTTCATAGAAAACAACTACTACGATAGAGGCTAATTTGAATTAGTAACTACATTCTTAAGAGTTAAGTTGTTTTGCTACTTGTTACACTGGCCTTGGGCAAGTTGTTCACTTTCTTCCTTTATAAAACAAGCATAATGATAGTGTTATTTCCTAGGGATCTTGTGAAGATTATTAGTTAATTCACATAAAGCACTAAGAGCAATGCCTAGCAGGTAGTAAGTGCTGAATTAGTGTTAGATGCTGCTATCATTTTTTCCTATTCATGCTTCATTGCTTTACATAGAACTAAGTTAAATTATATATTTATAACAATAACCACAACTGGAATAAATTGTTCTGTGAACAAACACAGTTGGCACCCTTGATAAGAATACAACTTCACTAAAGGAAGAACAGAAGTGTTGATCCTGTGATACTGGAAAATAGGATAGCAAGTGTCTTGTCAACTAAGTTGGGTAAGAGAGTGGGATAGTTTATGAAGAGTATAATAATGCACACAAAAAAGTTGTATATTAAAATTGAAAAAGGGGGCTGGTGAGATGGCTCAGTGGTCTAAAGCGCCTACTTAGAACAAGCTTAGCAAAGCACAGGGACCACGGTT